CCCTTTGTCCTTCTTTGAATGACTCTCCTTCCTTCGAGCTCCGAGGAGTGGTCGTCTAGTTCCTTCTGGTCGTCCTTCCCGAAATCTTAGCTCAGGAAGTAAGGCTTCCGGTTGCCCCCATGTCTTGCCGGAGCCATCATCCGGTGTTTTCTCTCCTGTATCTTCTCCTGTCCGATTTTTCGTATCTTCCCCCTCCGAAGTTTCCTCTCGCTCCTAAGGCCTCCTTCCTGGTGTTCCTTTCCCTTGTCTCGGACTCCTATCACCTTCTGGGCTCGCGTTCTCTGGGCCCTCCCTTTTTCTTCTTGTCTACTCCCCTCGTCGTGGCTCCCTGCCTCTGGGTCACGCTCCCTCCCTCTTAATCCTTCGTCTGCCTCATCTGATTTCTCACCTTCTGTCTCTCTCTTAGTTTTGTTCTAATTCTCTTGTCCCCTGGAGGGGTCACCCGTTTCTGTCCTGCCCTCTGTGTCCTATTCTCATCTCTCCTCCCAGACCTTATTTCGTAGCATTTCTATCTGCTCTATTTTTATCTCTCTAGTGCTGTTTCTGTCTTCTGTTAAGGTCCGGCTGGTTGGTGAGAGGCGCTGGAAACTCTCATGACTTCGAGCTCCCTTGCCCATGCTCCTGATGTGAGAGATTCTCTTCCTCCAACGGCCCTGAGCTATAGTGACCCCTTCTCCTGAATTTTCCTATTCTGCTGCCCCTTGTTGCAGACGGTGTCGTGCAAAATCCCGCAGGCTCTTCGGCTCCATTTTTCTCTTCTGCTCCTGGCTTGTGTGGCCTATTTCACTCACGTGTTGCTGACGCAACCGCTCCTGGCTTCGGATTTCTTGTACCTTCTGACTTGGGATCCACTCTTGATTCTGCCTCTTACTATGCTCCCTGTAGTCTCCCCCCTTTTGCGGTTTCTTCTTGCTAGGGTTTCTCCCCTTCTGCGCTTCTTCTCGTCCCCTGCTCCATTCCCTGGTTGTCTCCCTTCTGTTCCTCCTGATGAGCTTTCCTGGCCTCCTCTCGTCTTTCCCTTGCGAGATCTTTGCTCTCTGGTCCCTTCATTCATCCGCTGTTCCAATCTTCTCTGGGGCTGTGGGATGGGCTTATGGCTGGTGGGAGGTCTGTTATTCCCTTCCTTCCTTTTGAATTAACCGAGTCGTGTTACCTTCTTTCACAGGCTCTTGATCCGGTCCCTATTTGGGCTTCCCATCCTCCCGTTCCTCCCCCGCCCTTCCTTCGACTTCGTGTTCTGCATTCCCCCTTCCTACGTTCCGGAGAAGGTAGCCCCTGTACAGCTCCCATCTGTTCTTTATTGGGCCCGCTATCAGACTCGGCTGCTCCTGGTGTGTCCCGGAACCCTTGGCCTGGGACTGGCTCCTCCTTGCGGTTTCCTCTCATGATTGTCTTTTTCATATTGCTGCTTCCCTCCCTCTTGCATTCGGGTGATCTCGTCTCTGATGTTACACTATCCTCCGTTCTGAACCTATTGTCCTCGTTCTTTCGCTTTCGGCTAAATCTCTGGGTCCTAGTGGTCCTTCTTCACGACTACCTGTCTTGTAGTGTGCTTGAGTACGACTCCTGTGTTCGGTATCCACCACTCGTTCTTGGCTCCTTGGTTCCTGCCGGCTTCCCTCCTTTGCTCGTCTGTCCTTCCCTTTTGATGTTGCCATCTTGGCCGGCTTCTGATGGTTTGATGATCCTCTTCTTCCCCCTTTTTTGTCCCCCTGGAAGAAGCTCCTTCATGCTTCTGCTACTTACGAGGCCTCCGTCTTCTATCAGACTCTTAGGCACCTGCTCCTGACTCCTTTATCTTCTAGCTCCTTGAGACCTTAGCATGCGACGCCTGTCCTTCCTTGTTGGTGTGTTCCTGTCTATCAGCTCCTCTCGCGGGTTCTGTTCTTTCGATGGCTTCTTCCTCCTCCCCTGCGGTGGGTTCGTCGCATGGAGCTCCCGGCTGAATTCCTGTAGACTCCTAGTTGGCTAGGATTGGTCCTTATACTTGTCGATTTGGTCCTTTCGACTTGATCTTGCTCCGCCTGTTTTGATTCCCTTCCCTATTCCTAGGGCTTAGGGCGGCAGCTGTTTTCGGAATTTTTGGGCTCTAATGTTTTGTTATGGGGTGGTTTGTCCCCTGTGCTTAGGTTCCCGTTTCTCGCCTACTCTCCCTGTCTGCTCCTTGGTAGTTGTTCAGGTTTTCTCCCCATTTGTTCTCGCTTCTGACACTTCCTCTTATTCTTTGAGATGGAATTTCGGCCTCTTTTCTTGGTGGCTCCTTTGGAGGGGTCGGGTATTCTTCCTTCTTGTTTTTTCGAGAATTCCTTTCGGCTGCTTATAGTTCTGATCTTATGAGTTGGTCTTCCAGTTTCCTTGGTCGGTGTGGTAAAATTCGTCCCAATAAGTCAAGCTTCCCGGATTCTAAGCCTTCGTTGATTTTCGATCTTCCTGGCTCTTGTTCTTGATTTAGTTGAGTTTTTAAGATTACTTGTCTCTAGCCTGTTCGTAATTTGGCTGCATGTAGGTCGCTGAGATAAAATCCCCTCTTTAACTTAACTTCTGTTGAGTTGGAGTTTGCTTCTGCTAATATTACTTGGTTAAGGATCTGACCCTGGAGATCATCTTGTTAAGACATATTCATATTTTTCTGACAGTTATGAGAGCTGAACGTGAGGGACAGCTACTGGAGAGATTTCGTGTTATCATAGTTTTTCTTATAGAGCCTGAGGTGATTGAGGGAGGAGGGGGCAGTCAGGTAATATTTAGGGGGGAAGCACTACCCCCTGTTTCTGGTTGGAGATAGTTTTGGAGGGAAACTTTTTAATGATGTCCCTTGCTGAAGCTGACTTGTTCTTTTATGGGATCAAATATTTGTTGTGTACCTGTTAGGTTGCTCCTTGGGTTTCATCTCATATGCTTTAATACTTTTTCAGGGTTGGTTTTCTGATATTGGGTCTTTCCCTGCTAGAAACTCTTAGCACTCCTGACGTTGCTTTGGTCCTCTTGTTTGGGTTCTTGAGGAATTAGTATTAAAATCTTAGACACATTAGAAGCTTGGAATTAATAGTCCACTCGTTATAGTTCATTTTTCTCATACTTGTAGACCCGGTATACATTAATACCCTGTTAACCTCACTATCAGACACAAAATCCTTTTCCCCCCTACAGACTCATCCTGCGCTGTTCTCAGCTGTGTTAATACAACACCCTGGATTATAGGGTTTTCGTCCGGGAGTTAGTATTTATCATAATTGTTTCTTTGCATCTAAATTTTAACGCTTTCCTTTAGGTTTAGTTTAAAACATTCGGAGTGGTTATGTCTACTATTGTTAGAGACAACTTTTAGGTGTAAGATCTAAGACTGGACTTGAGACTTTAGGATTATCCAGATTTTTTTGTCCTTCTTGGTTAGCTACTAGAACGAGTTGGTATTCAAAGGATTGAGAGATTAGCTTATAGTTGATAGTTCGGTTTTCTGAAGCTACCTTGGCCTAGTTTTTCACCTGATACCTTTATCTCTAGATTCTCCATCCTTTAAAGAGCATTTTATCACGCAGATTTCCAGAGTTCAGTTTGGACTATAATAGATAGATCTCCATTGCTCTTTTAGCTATTGAGGAATTCTTGAATTCTTTCTTAAGAGAGATTTTAGGGAAAGAGGATTTTCACTGACGATACATAGATTTAATTAGAACTGTACTCTTTCCATATTACTAGGGTCTTAAAGAATTTTCTTCTAAGATTAGTTCTATTTAGATGGGGAGAATTTAGCTTGGATTTTTCTTTTGCTCTCATAGTATTCCTGCTGATCATCCAGAAACGTGGACTACTATAATCTTTATAGTACACGGTCTCTGGGTTATTCTGATTTTTTACCATTGAATATTCAGAGACGTAGTTATTTTCTAGAGAATACTTATTCTATAACGCTTAGGGTATTCTCAGGATTTCGTTTTCCATATAATGAAAGTACAGACTGGGAATTTTTAAGATAATTTATCACATGCAGGGCAATACCCTTCACATTATAGTAGTATAGGAACATCTGTTGATTTTACTAGGTTTAGGGATGGATACTGGTACTTTGTAAATATTGGGACGCAGGGCGCGCCTTCTTCCCTTCAATTACCAATACTATAATTGGGGTACTACTTTTTAGATATAAGTATTACGAACACCTGAATAGGCTCCATATAGTTTAACACTGTAGGATATTCTTATCTCCTACATATAGGTGTCTCTCAGAGTAGGGCCTTCCAGTCAAAAGGAGACTTTTCAGATAACAATGCTTCAGGAGATCCTTAGATTTGACATAGTAGTGGGTTCAAAATGTCCCTGGACTTTACAGAATGGCACTCTTCATTTATTGGCGCCATTTACACTGAATCACCACAGGTATATTCTTGCTGCTCAAATAGCTGCTTCCTTGGGGGGTTGCTGGGTTTAAAGGATTTAGTCCTTAAATTACTACTATAATCTCTGAATGCGCATATAAGATTATTGTTGATACTGCCTTCTACTCCACAGGCTTGGAGACTCCTGACAGGTTCTAATAATTTATCCTCCTCTGCTCGTTATATAATGGTACTGCACTTATATTTGTGAACTTCACTCAAGGGTGTCGTTCATATAATATCATTCTTGAGAGAGATATATAGGGGATAAATAATGCTATGCGCTGCAAGGTTAGGTGTATTTAAATCATAGTACTCCGGGCACATGTATACTCATCCCCACCATGCTATTCCTTCCATATCAATACTTTGCACACATGCAGACTATTCATATGATAGTATGCTGGGAATATCAACACTTGAAATTAAAAAGTTATTTTCACACAAGCGTAATCTAATGATATCTTTACGCTTGGTAGAGCGGTGCTGCTAAAGTCATGAAGCATCAGGTAATGCACCACTCTTAATATAATAATACTTCAGGGATTGCTACAGGTTCAACACAGTTGTTTTGTGCCTATAATATAAGTCAAAAGCCTGGGCTTCGAGATTCTTACCCTCCAGATAGTTGGGCTTCAGGCACATCTATAACCTGTGCACCATTGTGTTCCCTAAATGACGGTACGACGCACATATGAGTATACTCACAAAATACGGTTGAAGATTATGCATACTTCTAATCGAAGTATTCTATTCAGGAAACAATGCAGAACAGATATTTCCAAAGGTCAAATATTAGTACATTCATATAAAAATACAGGACGAGACTTCGGCAATCTTCTCCATTGGAAATCCATACAAATCCTTACTGCGCACACAATAGTTCGGTTGCAATATTCATAAACTCGACGGAATAGTGCTTTCCAAATAATGATCCTCCTAGAATATGGATATTTCACACACACGACTACGGTTTACATCATAGTATTCCTGGCACCATAGTACCATCGAAATAATGGTGTCCTCGACATTTTCTAAGGGTTGTATAGTTCTGTACTTCATATAATTGGACCATTAAACTTAAATAAACAGTCTTTACATAATGGCACTTCAGAGACACCCATGCTCATCTAGGCACACCATTCAATACATAACCATAATAATCTTCAAAAGATGGAGCATTGAACAGGTCTATGCGGTTTACACCATAGTACGCTTCATATAAAACTATTACGGAAACGGTTATACTCTCCATGATGTAACTCTCTGCATATGATAAAACATTATGCCATATATCTTATCGACTTGAAGATACACTACTTGACAGTACGGTCGTAAGTTTGTCATTCTTCGAATAATGACGTACCACGCATCTTAACACTATGAAGATATGAGTACGGCATATACCTATGTACTCTTCACAGAATGATCCTTCCAATCATTCATATTTCCCATACAACTGTGTATTTCAAATGAAGGTATTATTTAAACAATAGTATTGTTAACATAATGGTTTACCTTGAACACGCATACTTTCCAACAAATAGTACCATAGATATAGTCACACTAATGAAGCTACATAAGGGCAGAGACAACGCTATCCGTAGCACAACTTCACTCCTGGAACATCAATACATGAGATAGAAGTGTACTCTTAAGATCATCATACTCCCCGAGTACCAATACTCTTTAAGTAATAGTATTACAGATGGGTCCTGGGAGCTCCGCACTTTCGCACGTGTTCTAATGAAGTCATTAGACTTACATCGAGACACTTGACATCATGATAACACAAGGATAGACTTATTCATCGAGGTACACCGCCCCCCACATAACAGTAGTTTTCTTCAATTGACAGTGCGCTTCACATATTAGCACAGTCGACACAGAAGTTTCCTTCACATAAAAATAATACCGGAGCTTGTTCACTCTTCATAAGATACCTTTCCCCAAATGGTAGGAGGTTACGCGAAATATATCTTATCACCCGAATACATCAATTAATACGATTGTTTCAACTTCGGTATTCTCCAGATAGTGATATGCCACACACGTCAGCTAACTCCAAATATCAGTACTATACATACGTTTGTACCTCTCTCATATTGACATTGCTAATCATCAATGCTCACTAAGAAACTGTGCTATTTCAATAGAAGTATTATCCACACGACAATACACTTAACATAACCGTAGTCCTGGTACACACGTACTCTTCTATAACATACTAATTTGAATATAATGATATTTATTATGCCATAGCTCACAACACATAATGGTACACCTTAGTATGATTGCACTGGAGGTCATGCAGATAACTGAGCTACATGGGCGTTCTTATAACAGGGCCATGGGAATCTCGGGATTCTGGACTGTTGAGAATGCAGACAGCTTAGTACGGTTTAAGTGAGAATTCTAGAATATTCATGCACTTCAAATAACCCCTACTACACGTTCCTCCAGCCGCAACAAGGGTGTTACAAAAAGACATCGGTATCCTGCAAAGAAAAGTACCCCAGGCTGGCTTGTGTTTTCCATGTAACGAAAGGATAAGCATGTAACTACTTTGAACATATGAGTACTA